GATGAGTAGCATAGCCCATGAACTAGTGTATTACTGAATTGCAGCCAGGTGCACTGTTAGGATGCAGGTGATTCATGTTCTCTTTGCATTTTACTTTCCTTCTTTTCCAGTCTTCATAATTTACTTCCTCCCTAACTTTGCCAGCATAGCAGCACATGTAGTTCACCAGCCTGGTTCTGTCATAATGATCTGGGTTAGCTTAAACACTTTCAGTAGTCAGTTCTCAAACTCAACCAAAACATTTTGACAGAACTGGGGTAGGGAGTGAGCATGGGGTGCCACTGAGGCTGAAGGAGAGACAGATCAGGGTGAGGGGAGACCCCTCTGTGATGACCAGCTAAAGGACAACTTCTTCACTTGTCTGTACTCAGTGCATCTGGCTATGGTTTGACTCCTGTTTAGTGAGAAAATGAAATAGATAGTCCTGACTCAGTGAAGCAGAAGAGAAAAGGGAGACTGCAATGATAATTAAAACACCCATTTGGTGAATTTATGGTAGTATAGATCAGATTAATTTGGATGTCTCAATCTAATTCATTGTGGGGGAAATGCCATAATAATTCCAACAGTAGCAACAACAGTTTAAAAAGTTGTGTCATCTATATCTCACTCTTCCATCATTACAGGTAGTGTCTACAGGTGAGGGTTCAGTTTCTTACATGGGGAGAAATGTCTCTTATTTGCCTTAAACATTTTTTTATGATTTGCAGGCATATTGTAATTCTTCATTTTTAAAATGCAGTTGCAGTAGGAAAAAATCAGGGCTCCAGAAAGCTATTCCTGAAGAGAAGATCCCATTAGCTTTTCACTGGTGTATGAGTATGATTTGTATAGATCCCTTTTGCCCCAGGCTGCCTTGGATTCAGAGTTTGGTGTGCTAAATCTGTGTCAAGCGGGTAAAAGTGGGAGCGGATACTGCTTACGTTTGACACAGTATAGGGATACTGATAGATGATTTTGTTCCTGTGACCGTTCTCACTCATTTAGGCACTCAAGCACCATCAGCAATTTGAAAGATGTATGGCAAGGCATGGACTGTGGATGACTAGTGGCAGGGTAAAAGCCACATGCACACATGTAAAGGATTTTCACACCTTGTAATTCTGCCTGGAAAGTAGGTTAGAGCATGGGATGAAAAGAGATGGTACTTTTGTTCAGTGTCTCTTAAATGGCCTGGTAAAGATATTAATTTCAAAGTCAGCACACTGTGGGAAACTGATTCAGTAAGGGTTGTGTGGCAGGTGAAATATTTCTGTGTAAACTAAGAATAACACTGAAAAATGGGAAGACTGAGAGAAAAGCATCACTGCTGCAAGTCACAGCCAGTGAGGTATAATGCCTAAGGGTTGCTGCAGTAAAAATAGTTGGGGGAAAAGGATGTTGTCTAATAGAAACCTTTCCAGTTGCTCTAGCTGTGCCTGAATTTGATGCTGATTTTCTACTGCTGTAATGCTCCCTTAGCTGCTCTGTGTCTCAGCAGAAACAGTCATTCCTCCCAGTTGTTTGGGTCTTTGTTGTTATAGAGTGTTCCCAACTAATCTTCAGCTGCCTAGGCAATATCATTAGCTTCTCAGCAGAGTGGAAATCTGCTTAAACTAAATAAGTAAGGGGAAGAAGTTTCTGCCTCTGCTCCTTTATCTAGGGTGCTGTCTTGTACTTCTTGTACAGTCTGATCTATACTACCATAAATTCACCAAATGGGTGTTTTAATTATCATTGCAGTCTCCCTTTTCCTTCTGCTTCACTGAATCAGGACTATCTGTTGCATTTTCTCACTAAACAGGAGTCAGTTAACTCCTTGCTAATGATACTAATTTTTGTAATATCTTACCATGTGATTTGCCTTTCATGTGTGGGCATATATGGAAAAACAGTAGAACAGTGTCTTCTGCTAATAGCATTTTGCATAGCAGTGAAGTTACCAGTTCTGCATCAAAATAGTGACCTGAAATATTTTCTGATGGTGATTTCTGTGTTACTGGGATTTCATATTAACTTGCCATTCTGAGACCAGGGAAGTATCCTCGTGGTGTGAGCAAGAACAGAACATTAAGACCAAGGAAAGGTAGTGTTATTCCACTGGTGTCCCAGACTGGTATAAAAGTAGGGTGCAGAGCTCTGCACTAGATGGAGAGGATGTGTGCTGGAACAGAAGTTTCACATGTGAGTCACAGTCGCATGATATTTTTTTTCCGGTTTACATCTTTATTACTTTTTCTTGAAGCAAAGGTCATTGAAGTTGTGGGTACTTCTTAGAGCATCTTGTGAAATTTTAGCTGTGTGACTTCAATCTTAAGGGAGATACTGTGGTAAAAAGCCAACTGGAAAAAGTTGCTCTTGGTGTTCAGATGCAGAGCACAAAGCTGGCACTGTCAGTCTTGCAGATGGAGTTGGTTTGGAATGCAGTGCTCTACTGTTTGTGGGGGATTCAAGATTAACCTAGAGATAGTGCAAAGCAACATGACTGACTACATCATCTCTTTTTTTGCATCTTCGTTTCTGGTAAACTTCAGCAACTTTGCCATGATTTCTCTGAGTTCATTTTAATTTGTGTATAAAAATAGTATGATATGGACAAGTTTAATTGAAGAAATTAAAGAGAGTGAGCAATTAAGTATCTGCTTTTTAATTGTAAGGAACTATGATTACAATCCTAAAGGCATAGTCAGTCACTTCTGAATAATTCTCGGTCAATTAGAGGAAGTTAATTTTATTTCTTGTACATCAGTTACATAACTGTCAGTTCTTAATCTGCATGTAGCAAAAAAGATACTTCCTTAGCAAGAGTTTATGAATTCTTTAATGTTGAGATTCTGTTGTCCCTGATGTGGCTCTTGGAGGAGTTGCTTTCATGCCAATACTAGCAATAAGAAAGAATATAAAATTCACATGACTGAGAAAGCATTTGAAATACTTCTCCCAATGTTTTGAACAGATATTCTTTTACTTTTGTGGACAGAAAACAGGAGTCTTTGGTATTGTTGTCGTTTCCTATGATGGTTTCAGCTGCAGGTCTGATGATCCTCTGCAGGATTCAGAGAAGTAAAAGCAGGATGACAGGTTTGCACATTAATGGCATTTCCAGCTCGACTGCTCCATCCTGTAAAGGGCTTAAATGTCCACAGATCCTTGTTAGGCTGCAGAGAGGAGCTACTTAATTTATGGGACAGGAGCTCAGGTTTAGCTCAGTCAGGCATTTTCCAGTCCACCTATGTGAATTCTCTTTTATCCCGTGCTGAATGTAATTTTGTTGAAACCCTGTGAATGACAGTGCTCCTGATCTGCAGTGGCAGAGAAGAGAGGACAATTAGAGCTCCTAACTTCTGCATTTTTAATACTGCTTTTGCCTTCCTTTTCTGCTTTTTGTTTGTTTTACCTCTTTCTCTGTGTTAAAATCACCAGTAGGTAGAGTTATGTCACACCACAAGCTTTCAGCACAGACAATGTTTTTTGTGATTCTTTTGAATGCTTCAAAACGTTGGGAAACACAGGAATGGTGTATTTCTCTTTTTGCTTCCCTTGCTTGACATGCTATGACTGTAGTTGACTTTGACATAGCCTATAAGGCAGGATAGGAATGACTAGGTAGAGTAATTAGTTTAAAATAACTTGGATAAGTTTGATGATAAGTATTTGACTCCTGGTAGTGTGTGTGTGTTTTCTCTATGCAACAGCAACTGTGGCTGTACTGGTCAGGCTGAAGGATCATCTTTGGTCATCACTGACTTCCTTCAATCCTTTCCTTTCAGTTTTATCTCCATGTAACATGATGAAGCCTGAAGAGCCCACAGGATTCAAAATATAGGGATCACCAGGGATTTCTGTGATATGTTCATTTGTGCAAATGACTATTGAGCACTGAATCGACATTTTTAGGGAACTTTAACTGTGGTTTCCACTTCCTGCAGTTAACAGCATATTCAGAAATCATCATTACTAGGTAAACTTAGGGTTTTTCCTGTGCACAGGACTTTATATCATAATTAAAAAGAAGCCTGCCCTGAAAAATGGCATTCTGTGTCAGGAGAGTTGGCCAGTGGATTAATTATACACTGACTATATAATTCTGTGTTTGTATTAATTACACATTTCTTGCTGTCATGGGGAAAAGTACCTTTTCGAGTAATTGAGATATCCTTTAATCCTCAGGGTTCAAAATCCTAGTGTTTTCAGTGTTTGTGGTGTAAAGCAGTGTTCTCCAACAGTGCTCACAGAATTGTGGAAGGTTTTAAGTTAATTAATGAATGAACTCAGGGATTATAGGGTCGATGATAAGGTAGATGTAGGAGAAATATTACAACTGTTTGTCCAAAAAGTCTGGAAAATGCCAATATTGAATATATGGACTTAGATGTGGAATGGATTTGGCTTTTTCCTCCCACATTTTTTAATATTTGGACATTACTTGTTGTGAGCATCAAAAGATGTATTATGGGTCTCTGATTTTTGGGCAGAGGAGTAAATGATGAGTATAAAGTTTTCATGTCACTTCCAGAGGGGATTTGTC